GGAAAGGCTGGCTGGTAATCTCTTGCGAAACTCCCCTTCCACACTCTACTGTCAAGAGAGAACAGTCCCTGAAGGTCTGGACTGAAACGCCAGCACCCGGGGACTAGTCTTCACAACCGAGCCGACGCCAAGCAGCCTCCAGAGGTTCTAGAGTTATTTCCAACCCGGGGGACCTAGAGGCTGGTCTGGCTGAGTGTAGGGGGTTCTTTTTACTGCCTGTAAGTCTTACTCAATCAGGTTCAAAGCCTTGGGCTAAAAATAATCTTTGGGAAGGGAGGAAGGAAGAATCCAGACAGTATCAGAATGCCGTAACTCTTCCTGAATGAAAGCAATCTCTCTGGCTTCCAAGAGATAAGAGCCATTTCTCCCATCATCTTGAAGGAATCTGGCAGCTGCCAGGTTAGAAAAAAAAAGCAGGATTTTGGGACAGATTTCATAGGAACATTAGATACGGCCCCTCCATTCATTACACAAGAAAATTCTTTTGATTTTTTTTTTTTTCAAGCTAAGTAAGTGAGGGTGGATGTGCAGCCCCTCTGGGCAGTGCCCTTACAGTTGCTATGGAGACGTGAGTCATCTTTAGAGGATGTGCCTTAAGAAGGAGGAGAGAAGCTGGCAGTTCGTGGGCTTAAATGACTAACTATCCAAGTGGTCACATGACTATCGAAGACCTTTAAGGTCTTGCAAGAGATCCACATCTAGTTCTCTGTGCTTAAATACAGACCTACCTCCCACTTCCCTGTTCAACAATTTTAAAAAAAGACACCAAACCCTAGCCTACAAGAAGAGATTTCAGTACAAGATAGTGGTCCCGGCATGGCCTTTGCTCCACCCTTGCTGATCAGCTTCTCCCAAAGTCCTCTGCAAGGATAAGGCTTCAACTTTAGGAAGATGGAGCTTGGGATGAAATGACCAGTCTTGGGGACCCAGGAGAGAAATCGCGCCACTCAGAAGCCTGGTTCTGGTTGCATCCGGTGTCTAACTGGGAAGTACTGAGTTCCCTTTCCAGATGCCGAAAGGATTCCTGAGGGACAGCCACGTGCCACATTCCCAAAGCCTTTTCCTCCCGGGCACTAGGTTCTCCTGTTAGCCACGGCCTCTCCTGGTCGGTGTGTCGCTCATCAGATGTGGGAGGGCCGAGTAAAACACTCCCTGTGAAGAAACCTCGAAGGGGATGAGCCAAAGAGCGATCCTGGGAGGTAGCTGCCCCCAGAGGGTGGTTTTCACAGTGTTGCCAAGGGCACAGTAATAATTAAAAAAAAAAAGGAAAATATCTGGATGGCACCTTCCCTCCTTTCCACACACACATTGACGTTGGATCGTTGCGTTCTACGCGTAGGAACCACCACTTAGCACATGGGGGTCACCGATCTCCTTTCCAGGATTATTGTGAGACTGCACAGGCCTGATGTTAAATACCTGGCACAGTGTCCCGCACAGAGCGAGTATAAATGGCAAATACTAGCTTTGTTTTCCTCTCCTCTCCCGCTCGATCAGCCGCTACATCAGGTGTAAGTCTCCTGAAAAACATGGCGCCGCCAGGGAGTCCCGAGTTTTGTCACAGAGGTAAACGCATTCACCCACAGTCCGCATTTTCTACCGTTGCTTTCTGAGTCTTCTCCAGAGACACGAGAAAAGGTGGCTGCTAAAAACAAGACCACTTTCTCCCCTTAGAAAAACATATCCATTTATCGGCAAAAGGCCCTGTGTACACCTCATGGAATTCCTAAAGGTTTCTTGCGGGGACATTCGCAGGGGGAAAGCTCATTGTGTCCCTGGACTTTACACAGGATACGGGGGTCCAGTCATCCACCCTGACACCAGGAAGCCACAGTTCCTGCTTCCAGCCACCCCTTCATCATGTCTTAAATACATGTTCCCTCCTGCCGACCAGGCCTTATTTTTCTAGTGGGGTTCTAAGCAACTTAACAGAAAGGTCAATTCTGAGAGGTACAAGAAACAAAGCTCTGAGAATGCTTCGCGGAGGGAGGTGGGACACATGGGAGGCCGATTTTATGGAGAATTACAGAGCGCGATCTAATATCATTAATCAAGGTAGGTGGGAGGGAGAGGGAGAGAACCCTGGGTACCAACTGTTTGCCTTTCTGACAACGCGGAGTCCTGGAGCCTGACATTCCGAGTTGGTATTTTCCTAAAGAACTCGATCATTTTTCTTCCTACGAAAGCAAATGTATTTAACTAAGTTTCTTCTCTAACACTAGTAAAGATGGAACATTCTTCTAAATTCTTGCCCATCATCTAAGCAGGATTTGTAATCAACATGCCAACCAGCAGGCAGGCTACTGAGGTAAAATTCATGAGAGGTATAATCTCTGTTTTCAGCAGGCTTATGGGAGAGTCTGGCCCTAAGAGGAACAAAGTGGCAAGGAGGTCAGGAGGAGGATGGCTGTTCCAACTTAATGACACAGGGTACCATCTGTGGGGCCAGGAAGGGGGACCCACCATCCCTGGGCTTGCTCCTTCGGGCTGTCTGGGGGCTGGCATGGCTGCCTCTGATGTTGGGGGGCCTCAGCCCAGGGGTACTTCTTTACTGGATGTGTGGAGGAGGCTGGTGCAAGGCCAGTCCTGGAGCAGTCACTGAGTGGGCTGGCCGAGCCCAGGCTCGGATGGTGCATACCGTGGACAGGGACAGACCGCCTCCCAGCCGGCTGCTGTGTGGCTCTTGCTGGATCTGAGGGCTGACCTAGTTTTCTCATCACTGGACCTTCTAACTCTTTGTCCCTAAATAGACCATCATGTACGCCACGCTCTCTGCCCCAGCCTGGAGCAAGGAGGCATCACAGAAAGCCTCACTTCAGTTTCTCTGCCAGGGACAGACACATACTCTATTGTGAGAGCAGGACTCCATGGTCCTGAATGGCCTCCAAGCAGAAGGCTGTGTGGACGCTGCTGAACTTTCTCAGCTCCGCACTCAGAGGACACGAGTGTGGGACCCAGCGGTCGGCCTCCTGGCCAGTCCTGCCCCACCCGTTGGTCACTAGGCAGCTGGATTTCCAAGCACACTGGCACTCAGCCAGGCTACCAGCCCTCTCGGCTAAGTGCTTCCCAGTCCATCTCTCCTCGCTTCCCACCTCCATCGCCCAATGCTTTCCCTCCCTCCCTCCCTCCCTCCTTCCACCGAGAGTCCTGCAGAGAGAATGACAGAGTGCACCAGCAGCACATCGGGCTCTCTGCACGGTCTCTGAGACAATCTGCTTACTGGTCAAACTTACAGGCGGCGAGGGGATATCGTTTTTGCTTTAGATCTTTTCCAAAAGTAAATGTTTTTTTAAAAAAAGTACAAACACAGAATCACTTGACACCTTTATGGTTAAAACCGACAGGTGGAAAACAACAGTTCTGGGTGTTGCTAACAATCGGCATTTCACGCCAACCCGTTCAGCTTCCATCTCTCGGCTCTAGTTCCAGATGTACCTACTGTGCGGCTTTCACGCATCGGACATGTATCCAGGGTGACACACGGGAGACAGAACTCCAGGTGGAAAGCCGCTGGGTCACAGGAACCACACGCACAACGTGGGGCCCCAGGAAACATTCAGGGCTCTGTGCCTGGGTGACAGTTCGAAACATGAGACGAGACCGTGAGGACAATGACATGAGCGTGCTTCACCTTTGGGGAGAGGGAGGTCATTTTCTGGGGAGACACTGAGATGCCGAGTGGAGGCGTCAAATGGAAGACATGTAGCATTAGCTTCGTTCTTGCTTGATAAGAACAAGAAACCCCAGGAAAGGCCATCCACATAACTGAACAAAAGGCCCCAGGGAACACGGCTGAGGTGCGGCTTTGCAGTTCGTCTGCAGTGGTGGGAACCTACTTTCGTCCCTTGCCCAAAAAGCAGACCAAGGGAGGAAACTGAAAACCCTCCAGTATTGGACTCTCTTTGCATTCTGCTGCTGGAGGCAGGACAAAAGTCCTACATTTTGGCTGCATCTCTGTTGGTGTGACAGCCACAGCTGCTCCCCCAAATTGCTGCTGCTGGCTGAAAGAATGAAGGGATCTTGTTGCTAATGTTTGGGTCTGTTTTCAGTTGTGCTTGACTGAGCTGTTTTCCCTCACTCTTGCTGCCCCAGGTCCAGAAGGAGCTAAGGAGTCTTTGCACCAGGTATGGGTGGTGCTGTCAGTTATGTGGAGGGATTTCCATGCCACGGCTCATCTCAGCAAGAACGAGTTTAGCTCCTTATTCTCTTCTGTGGCAGGTGAGTCTCTGGATGACCCAGAACATCTTAACAACCCACCTTCCGAGGGTGGCTGTGCAGCTGCTACTGAGGCTGGCCACATTTGCAGACCCCAGAGAGCAAAATAGTGTTCCTTCCATGTTTGGGTGGGACAAGCCCAAACCTGCACTCAGGCTGGGTGGCATTTCATAGGGAGCCCTCCCCCGAAAATAACAAAGAGAACCTTCATCAAACTATCAAACACGTTAAAAAAATACAAAAGTTATCTTCTCCTTTTTGATTGCTATTTACTGTGACAATATTTGTTAAAAATATTACTTCTGTCTTTGCAAAGAGATCATTCTCTTCATATAGTATGGAAAAATAAACTCTACTGCACACACAATCAACATTCCCCGCCACTGCCAGGGCCTTTGGCTCTTGCATCTCCAAGTGTCATCGCCAGTGTAAATGTACTAGGTTTTGGAGTAGGCAAATGCTTTGTGCTGTACAGATCATCCAGGGCTGGAAGGAAGAGGAAAAGGTAAGGCTCACGCAGCATTTTGAAAGGGGAGGATTACGACAGGATGGTTCATTTGCTCACAAAATGGAAGGTGATGGTGTTTTCAGGCCCTCCTGAAAAGGCATGGGGTGTCTCCTCGTCCCTTCTGACCACTCACAGTCCTGCTAACTCTGGGTTGGTTATTAATAGGAGGGGAGGAGCCTTTCAGGCCAATGGCCCATGTCACCATAAGGGAGGGCTTGACTTGCACACCCAGGATCATCTGTCAACACTGAGCTGGATGAATGGGAGAAGACAAGGATACATACAAACAGTAAAATGTTTATTTTCTTAGAAAAAAAAGTGAGGGAGAAGGGTTCAAAATGATTGTGATCACACTTCTATCCGCATCTGAGCAAAGCCAGTGCCGCAAGCTTAATCCTTGATTCAGACACCTATGAAATGCAACCACCTGCTGCTCACGCTACGTCCTTCCCGGGATCATGGCACCACATGCTTTGAACTGAGAACACCTTCTCTGCTTCTTCTGAGCAGAGACACAAGGCTGGCCAGAGCAACCATCTCATCTCCAAAGCTCAACAAGGCCAGTGAGAAGCGAGGCTGTCTGTCTCCGGACCACTTGGGAGAGACAGGGAGGAAGGAGAGAGAACAGGAGATGCTTGTCTTAGAAGCAGAACCGGTCTAGAATCGCAGTTTGATATCTGAGTTCCCCACTACCTCGTCTTATAGAAAATAGGTCGGAGAGCATCTGTCAAACCAACGGGATCTTTAAGGTGAAACTGCAGAATTTTGCTGCAGACCTGGACACGAGAGAAGTGAAAAGTTGCAACAAGTGTTAACTAGCAGCAACAAAGAAAGTTCGATAACAGTTTGTTTGTTTGTGTTTAGCAATATTCCTTTGCAAGTTCATTTAGAAACACTGTAATTTAATGGGGCATACAATATGGACCGATCTTCTTTTGCTATAGTGCTGTTCGTTGAAGAGAACCGACCTCTGCAAAGTTTGCAACAGGGGTGTAACCTATTTACACAGTAGTAGCTCCAGGTTTGAGTGGTAGAATCGATGCTATGTGATGTCCTCTTCTTCCGAACAGTAATCCCGACCCTTGGAGGAAAAAAGAAACGAGAACATGTGAATAAGAAATTCAGAAATTCAGAAGACAGCCTGAAACAGTTATTGTTCATAATTAATTTCCTGTCAGTATATATGTCTCTTTACAAGAGAATCCAGGCTTTGTAAGTGACATACAGTGGATACATCATAAATACATGTTGGCTGATTTATTATATAAACCATGTACAGGGACCTTCAAAAAGTTCACAGAAAATGCATATTCTGAAAAACCATGCATTTAATTTTTTTTTGCACCAAAATAAACTCATACTTTAATTCCATTTTTCTTTTTCTTTCTTTTTTTTTTTTTTTTTGAGATTTTTGCTATAAGGTGCATGTCCTCACTAGAGAGAGAAAGAAAAAAAGTAAGAAATTACCTCCTAGGGAGGATGGCCACACCACAAGCCCTTCTTTTCCATTCTCCTCCTGGGATTTCTGGCATGCACTCACACGCTCCTGGTCCAGACCTTGAACCATGGTCGGCCATGTGGGAGTCCACTAGGCCTTAACCACTATGCCACCTGCTGGCCCAATTCCATTTTTTCAATATTTTTACAAGTCCTTTCAGATACCCCAAGGCATGAAAGTTTCACCAAGCCCCAAGCAAGCCCTTGCCTTATGGTGGTAAACATTTACTCTATGGTAGGCATATACAAGACCCAGCCTTTTACCACTAAATGAGCTAATGAACGATCCATTCAGGAGACCAGTTTCTCATGAGGGAGAATGAACAAGTCACTTTCAGAGGCTCATGTTCCACGCCACGTTTATACACCCAGAGCTTAACATTTTACAGAGGGAATCCAAAAGTTGAGGGTTGTCTGAGTTTTAATTCACTTTAAATGAATATATGTAATACATCTCTACTTGTGGTGTGTATGGGGTGCAAACAACAACAACAACAAAAAGGCAAAATGATTTCAATTCATGCGCTAAAAGCAGGCTGCTGGAAGGCTTAAGGATTGACGGTCAATTTTAGCTTCTCTTCACCAGGTTACATACTCTACATACTCTACGTATGTAAGCTCTGGTTAGGTTCACACAGACCTAACTGGGTTGTCTTGGTCAAATACATGGCTTTTAGGACCAGCAGGTGGCGTAATGCTTATGTTGCCGGACTCCCATGTAATCGACTGGAGTTCAAGTCCTGGACCCAGCGGCTTGACACTCACGCAGGGCAAAGGTACATGCATGCTCCAAATCCTCAAAGAATGGAGGAGAAGGGACTGTGGGGTGGCCATCCCCTCCGGGGGGTGATTTCTCACTTTCCGTCTGCCTGTTTCTCTCTCTGGCATGTGCCCTATAGCAAAAATCTCTCAAAAGAGCAAAGCAAAACAAAATAAAAGAAAATCCACGGCTTTCTTGATCTGTAATCTGTCACAGCACGGGACCAAAATACCTGTTTGCCTGCTTCACAATGCCGTAGGTAAGGGCTTTGTAAAAATCCTGGTCTTATGATTTGCATTCGTCAACTTAACATCATTATTTTTTAATTTGCTATAGGGCACGTATGCTCACAGGAGAGAGAGCTGCCGTAACCACTATGCACCTAGCTGGCTCCAGCAATGTATTCTTTTAATAGAAATATTACCAGTTCTAATTTGGGAGATGGGCATGTTCCTTTAAAAACAATTTTATAAATAACTGGAATTTATTTCTAAAAGTACCAATTCTTAAAGACAATAATAATTTTGCATATAGGTATTTCACAAATGTATTACACGTTTCTTTGTCCCATTATATATATATTGGAAATATATTATATTTTCTTAAATTTTTTTTAGAGAGATTTTTGCTATAGGGCACGTGTGCTAACTAGAGAGATAGAGACAGACAGAGAGATAGAAAGCAAGACATCACCCCCTGGGGGAACGGCCACACTGCAATCCCTTCTCCTCCATTCTCCTCTCGGGGTTTTGGGCATGCATGCACACGTGCCTGGGATGAGTTTTAAGCTGCCAGATCCAGGACTTGAACTGCAGTCAACCATATGGGAATCCCATGCCTTAACCACTATGCCACCTGCTGGCCCCATTTTCCTAACATTTAAGCACCATCATAATGAATTACACCACCTGGCTGGGTGCTAATTCTGGCTCTGTGACTTACTAGTTTAGCTCTGGAGCCTTGACCTAGTTACCTCTCTGTTTCAGTTTCCTCGTACATGAAAGGAAGATAACAATAGGAACTACTTCACAGGGCTGTTGAAGATGAAATGAGTGGATAGTAATAAAATGATTAAATAGTTCCTGGCGCATAATTTTATACACCGTGTGTGTGTGTGTGTGTGTGTGCACGTGCACGCATGTGCAAGTGCATGTGTATGCTTGGTAAATAAAAAATGCCCATACACAACCAAGCCTTCACACCTGTGGAAGAGTGAGGGGTTGCCTAGTCTCTGGCTACACGGCTCCAAGTTGATGATTTTTTGGGATAAGATTCACTATTTTGCATGTTTCCTCTGGTGGTCTACAAACCATTAGCCTGCTAACTCCCACCCCTGCTGCTTGCAGACAGTCTGCGGTGGTTAGGAGAATTGTTCATTCCCCAAAGGTTCATGTTCTGGAAGTTTGGTCCACAGTGTAATGGTTTTGGGAGGTGATGGAACCTTCAAAAGGTGGGGCCTAGTGAGAGGCCATCATCCAATTGGCTACAGGTGTGGGGAGGACTGACAATTAGTGGGGAATTTTGTTCCCTCTGTCATGCATGTGCTTGCCCTCCTCTCTGCATCTGTCGGCCATGTGGTGACGCAGCACCAGAGGCCAGCCCGATGGTGGCCCTGTACCTTCTGACTTGCCAGCTACTAGATTTGTGAGCCCCACAAAGCTCTGTTCTTTATAACTCACCCGGTCTGGGTATTTCTGCTTAGCAACTGAGCCTGGTGTCATGTTCAGGCTTGTCTTTCTTTTCTTCCTAAGTTTTATTTTATTCATAGTAGAGCAAATGTGCATGAGAGAGACAGGGACGAGAGAGCAGGAGAGAGAGGCACCTTCAACGGGGTCCTGTCACACTGTGACCCCCTGTTCCTGGTGCTCCAGCTTGTCAGGATCTTGGGCATCTGTGCAGAGGCCTAGCATGTTTTCAAGTTGACCTGGGGATCTGAACCCATAGTTGGCCATGTGGCTTCCAGCTCTGCAGTTCAGTTTGCTACCGACTATGGCACCAGGCTGAGCCTAGTCTTGTTTTATTTGCATACAACCTCCCCGGGGGTGGAGAAACAGGGTAACCAATCTTCCTGAGAAGAAGTGTGTCCTCAGCACAGATGCTTCACTGACAGGCTCCCTGCTGACGCTGCTCAAGCAGATGACACCCTTAGCCCTGGCCCAGCCCATGCAAGGGACACTCCCTGAGTCACATGTCAGAGAGCTGGAGAGGAGGCTCTCGAAGTCCCTGACCACTGGGAGATTATACTCCTAGTGGGGCACAGGACTTGCACACACGTCAACATATGCGATAAATACCAGATCGTGCTCTCCCCACGTCCTCAGTCATGAGAGTTTGAGAAAACGCTTGCAAACAGAGGCTGGTATTCTGCTGGAGGGGAAAGGCGGGGCTCGCCGAGAGCTAACTGGGAAAGGAAGGAGGACCTCTTCCCTGTACGGATGTGCATAAACACTGCCGTGTGACGCTGGGCAAATGACGGGCTTTGGCTTCCCAGGGATAATCATGGTCTCTGTCCGATAGGGCTGTGATCAGGATTATATGGGGAAAAGAAGAGTGTCTGGCAGGGGGTCAACATGTGTTATTACAGCTCCTGCCCTACGACTATCACTGTTGTAATTATTATTATAAACCTTGCGTTTGTTCAGTCTCCTGGCAGCGAAATGCGGATCTCCTTCCCATGGCTGTCAGGTGAGGACTGGGCCATATGCTGTGATCCAGCAGGTGTCAGGGAACCCTTCACCTCTGTCAGCTTCGCACCCCAGGCAGGGCAGAACCCCGTGTGCACGAACACAGCATCTACGGAAGAAGCCTAAGAGCCTTCCCTTCTTATGTGTCAATGAGGCCTCCCATAAAAGCGGAGGCTCAGGCAGTCAATGTGGGGTGTAGAGGACACCTTGTCCAGGAAGAGGGACTCAGAAGCAATGCAGACACACACACACACCTGGATGTGCATGCACATACACACACTAACATACACACTGAGAACTGGTGCCCTCGTTGGCAAAGCAGTCTCTCCAGTTCTGCAAATGAATTGTTGAGTTTCATGCAGGACAATTTCAGACCCTCCAACTTTCCTGCTGCTACCAGAAGGCTTCCCCACCCCATCTTTTGAGAGACAAATCTATATAAACTTTACAAAAATACGTATTTCTCCTGAGCGAGACTGAGTGACACCCAATAGGGTCTTCAGGTCATGATCCACTCCTAGTCTCAGCCAGTCAATGAGAACTGCACACGTGTGCACCTGCTGTGTACAGGGAAACCTCGGGACACAAACCTGGGGCCTTCCAGTGGACCCAGTATTATAGAGTGCTGCATTACCACTATGCCACCGGCTAGCCCAGGACAAATCCGTACACACCCTCTGTATAAATTTGAGACTGGGAACAGCAGTTAGTGTAATGCCTATGCCGCTGGACTCCCAATGTAGTCAACTGCGGTTCGAGTCCTGAACCCGGTGGCTTAAACTCACGCCGGGTGCATGTGTGCCCAAGATCCCGAGAGGAGAATGGAGGAGAAGAGACTGCGGCGTGGTCATCCCCTCTGGGGGGCGATTTCTAGCTTTCTGTCTCTCTCTTTCTGGTGAGTGCACGCGCCCTATAGCAAAAACCTCTCCACACACACACACAGGGCAGAACCCCGTGTGCACGAACACAGCATCTACGGAAGAAGCCTAAGAGCCTTCCCTTCTTATGTGTCAATGAGGCCTCCCATAAAAGCGGAGGCTCAGGCAGTCAATGTGGGGTGTAGAGGACACCTTGTCCAGGAAGAGGGACTCAGAAGCAATGCAGACACACACACACACCTGGATGTGCATGCACATACAC